GTGGTTAGGAGTGTTTGGCTAGTGTGGGTGGGGCTAGAGGGAGTGTTGTTAGGAGTGTTTGGCAAGTGTGGGTGGGGCTAGAGGGAGTGTGGTTAGGAGTGTTTGGCTAGTGTGAGTGGGGCTAGAGGGAGTGTGGTTAGGAGTGTTTGGCTAGTGTGAGTGGGGCTAGAGGGAGTGTGTTAGGAGTGTTTGGCTAGTGTGAGTGGGGCTAGAGGGAGTGTGTTAGGAGTGTTTGGCAAGTGTGGGTGGGGCTAGAGGGAGTGTGGTTAGGAGTGTTTGGCTAGTGTGGGTGGGGCTAGAGGGAGTGTGGTTAGGAGTGTTTGGCTAGTGTGGGTGGGGCTAGAGGGAGTGTGTTAGGAGTGTTTGGCTAGTGTGGGTGGGGTTAGAGGGAGTGTGGTTAGGAGTGTTTGGCTAGTGTGGGTGGGGTTAGAAGGAGTGTGGTTAGGAGTGTTTGGCTAGTGTGGGTGGGGCTAGAGGGAGTGTGGTTAGGAGTGTTTGGCTAGTGTGGGTGGGGCTAGAGGGAGTGTGGTTAGGAGTGTTTGGCTAGTGTGGGTGGGGCTAGAGGGAGTGTGTTAGGAGTGTTTGGCTAGTGTGGGTGGGGTTAGAGGGAGTGTGGTTAGGAGTGTTTGGCTAGTGTGGGTGGGGTTAGAAGGAGTGTGGTTAGGAGTGTTTGGCTAGTGTGGGTGGGGCTAGAGGGAGTGTGGTTAGGAGTGTTTGGCTAGTGTGGGTGGGGCTAGAGGGAGTGTGGTTAGGAGTGTTTGGCTAGTGTGGGTGGGGCTAGAGGGAGTGTGGTTAGGAGTGTTTGGCTAGTGTGGGTGGGGTTAGAGGGAGTTTGGTTAGGAGTGTTTGGCTAGTGTGGGTGGGGCTAGAGGGAGTGTGGTTAGGAGTGTTTGACTAGTGTGGGTGGGGCTAGAGGGAGTGTGTTAGGAGTGTTTGGCTAGTGTGGGTGGGGCTAGAGGGAGTGTGGTTAGGAGTGTTTGGCTAGTGTGGGTGGGGCTAGAGGGAGTGTGTTAGGAGTGTTTGGCTAGTGTGGGTGGGGCTAGAGGGAGTGTGGTTAGGAGTGTTTGGCTAGTGTGGGTGGGGCTAGAGGGAGTGTGGTTAGGAGTGTTTGGCTAGTGTGGGTGGGGCTAGAGGGAGTGTGTTAGGAGTGTTTGGCTAGTGTGGGTGGGGTTAGAGGGAGTGTGGTTAGGAGTGTTTGGCTAGTGTGGGTGGGGTTAGAAGGAGTGTGGTTAGGAGTGTTTGGCTAGTGTGGGTGGGGCTAGAGGGAGTGTGGTTAGGAGTGTTTGGCTAGTGTGGGTGGGGCTAGAGGGAGTGTGGTTAGGAGTGTTTGGCTAGTGTGGGTGGGGCTAGAGGGAGTGTGTTAGGAGTGTTTGGCTAGTGTGGGTGGGGTTAGAGGGAGTGTGGTTAGGAGTGTTTGGCTAGTGTGGGTGGTGTTAGAAGGAGTGTGGTTAGGAGTGTTTGGCTAGTGTGGGTGGGGCTAGAGGGAGTGTGGTTAGGAGTGTTTGGCTAGTGTGGGTGGGGCTAGAGGGAGTGTGGTTAGGAGTGTTTGGCTAGTGTGGGTGGGGCTAGAGGGAGTGTGGTTAGGAGTGTTTGGCTAGTGTGGGTGGGGTTAGAGGGAGTGTGGTTAGGAGTGTTTGGCTAGTGTGGGTGGGGCTAGAGGGAGTGTGGTTAGGAGTGTTTGACTAGTGTGGGTGGGGCTAGAGGGAGTGTGGTTAGGAGTGTTTGGCTAGTGTGAGTGGGGCTAGAGGGAGTGTGGTTAGGAGTGTTTGGCAAGTGTGGGTAGATAATGTTTCTTATTATTGTAAGAACTTGGAAATAGAGACGACGACGATGATGATGTGAGAGGCAATTCCTAAGTGAAGCTGAATGAGAAGCGTTGTGACCTGCAGTTTGGTGAGTAGGAGAATGTGTGGGTGAGTGAGTGGTTGAGTGGGTGTGTCTATGAGTGTGTGAGTGAGTAGGTGTATGGGTGTGTGGATGAGTGTGTGGGCGAGTGTGTGAGTGTGTGAGTGAGTGGTGTATGAGTGTGTGGATGAGTGTGTGGATGAGTGTGTGGATGAGTGTGTGAGTGTGTGAGTGAGTGGTGTATGAGTGTGTGGATGAGTGTGTGGATGAGTGTGTGGGTGAGTGTGTTGGTGAGTGTTCGGGTAAGTGTGTGAGTGAGTGGGTGTATTAGTGTGTGTGTGAGTGAGCAGGTGTATGAGTGTGTAAGTGAGTGGGTGTATTAGTGTGTGTGTGTGTGAGTGAATAGGTGTATGAGTGTGTGGGTGAGTGAGTGGGTGTATGAGTGAGTGTTTGAGTGAGTAGGTGTATGAGTGTGTGGGTGAGTGTGTGGGTGAGTGTGTGAGTGAGTGTGTGAGTGAGTGGTGTATGAGTGTGTGGGTGAGTGTGTGGGTGAGTGTGTGGGTGAGTGAGTCGGTGAGTGTGTGAGTGAATAGGTGTATGAGTGCGTGTGTGTGTATCAGTTGTGAGTGTATTGACGAGTGTGTAATTGTATTCGTGGATGAGTGTGTGGGTGAGGGGGTGGGTGGATGAGTGTGTGGGTGAGTGTGTGGGTGAGTGTGTGAGTGAGTAGGTGTATGAGTGTGTGTGTATATACGTGGTGAGTGGGTTAACAAGTGTGTGATTGTTTTCGTGGGATGAGTGTCTGTTTGGGCCCTGGGCCTCTCTTAGTTTGACTCAGCCTCAAATGAGTGCCTGGCGCGGCGTGTAAACATCGTCACTAGGGAGACAAAGGCGGCCGGGCGTGGTACTGACCACGCACCCCCTTGTGTGCCGTGCCGGCCTTCATAGGTGCTCGCTTACAGACCCTGCCCCAACAGTCTGTTAAGGCTACACGGTGGATCGTTGTAGTAGGGTGGGTGAGTGGGTGCGTGGATAGGTGTGTGTACGAGTGGGTGGATGAGATAGTGGGTGAGTGTGAGTAAGTGGGTGGATTAGTGCGTGTGCGTGTGTCCGTATGCACGAGCGGTGGCGCAGTGGTTAGCGCGCAACTGCGCTACGAACCCGTGCAAACGAATCAAAATTAATGCAACTAAAACAATCCTCGTCATCAATCACAGGAGCGTTTATTTGCGTCGCGTTAAACCCAACGGTGATGCATCACGCATCAGTTTTACGCGCAGTCGGCTTTCGCGACCAATATCATCCATAATGAGAGGTTTTTTTCCCGAGCGTGAAATCGCGTAAATATAAATGTGTCGTTAAACCCTCCACCACCCGACACGGTACTCGAATTGTAAATGTTGTGGGGGGTTTACTCTCTAGCGCACCGGTGTGCTGAACTAGTAACGAATTGGCCACGTTTTGTTTACGCGACAAACCTTACCAATTAGCGAGTTTATCGACACGTTTATACTCTTTGGTTCTTTCGGTAAAGTTATTTCGGCCAAGCCACGTAGGCATAAAATAAAATAAAGAACCAAAAAGTATGGATTCCCGCAATCACGAAAGCCTCAAATCAAGATCGACACGTTCATATTTACGCGACCAAACCTACCTCTATTATGGACATCCCACCTCGCGTTTAAGAGACGCGTTTCGCGAACCGCAAAAGTCGACGTCAAACAAGCAAATGTTGTTGAGTGACGGTGCGTGCCTTCTTACAGGGGGTCGAGAGGAGGGGGGGGACGGGGAGCGGTGGCGCTTTGGTTAGCGCACCCCAACGTTCTGAAGCCAGCTATCCGAACTCGATTCATGGCCACGGTGAATGACCGCGAATGCCGAGTGTGATGTCTGAAACAGGTCTTGGGGCTACACGTTCAACAATCCGCACTGAACGGCGTGTGGTTAAACACCAACCACTCCTCTCTCTCCACCACTCTCCCCCGCCTCCCCACGAGCGGACTAACTCATCCCGCAGTGGAATGACAAAGGGCTGCATGTTATTTTTAACACGAATATACCGTATACGATTATACCGTGTAAGTTGTACAGGGCATTATTCGAACGTGTATTCAATGCGCACGATATATAATGATAACATTCAAAGTTGCAATCCACGTGTCACAAATATATATATTGTCATCCACGATTTAGCACAACGCATATACGAGTAGGTACATGGATTACACACGCGTCAATCAGTGGCTTCCACGGCGACTGTCCACTTCAAACTACTGTCACTATTATACGGCTGAAAATGACCGGAGTCTCCAGATAAATGAGAACGCTTCAGAAATTAGGACGAATATCGTATCTCTGTAGCTGTGAACCCCTTATCAGTGCCCTATATTATTACAGACAAATTCAAACCTTATTGGTCACTCCGTGCTCAACGTTCATCTACAAAGTCCCGTCACAAAGGAGAGAAACACAAACATATCGACAAAACTTTCTATGGTTTTTTTGTGCGCCCGTATTGAAACGTCCGTACCGCCGTGTGGACCTCAGAACTCAATTTTCCTGTACAAGAGCACGGGGTAAACCGGCTCAAACCCGGAGAATTACGGTAACCGGTTACGGTAACCGGTTACGGTAACCGGTTACGGTAACCGGTTACGGTAACCGGTTACGGTAACCGGTTACGGTAACCGGTTATGCGCGTGAGCGATTTGGCGCGAGACGGAAAGTAGCGATGATTCGTGGTGGTGACGTCGCGGCGTATCGTGGAAGCCCAAGGCGACGTTTCGGGCACTACCACTCTTCTTCAAATCTATGAGCATCGATAATCTACAAAGGGTGATTGCCCGAAACGTCGCGTGTAATATATATATATATATAGTATGATGCCATTTAAATTCCACGTGCAACACGCATGCATCCACGGAGATGCATACAGCTAGCTGTAGTATTTACACAAAGACAAAGGTCCCCCGTGTAGCCTTTCACTGATAAATTGGGGTAAGTGCTGATCGCGAGCGCCTACTGAGGGCGGCACGAGAGCGTGGTTTGGTCAACACTGCGCAAACTCCGCCACCTTTGTCTCCCCAGTGCTAGCATTTAACACAGCGCATCGCTTGAGGCTGGATCGACCTGAACATCGTTTCGATAAATATCACTCCTGGCCACAGATCGAGTTCGTAAGGCAGCGCGCTCACCACTTGGCCCCACGCACGGCTAGCGACACGCAGGGACAGAAACACACAAAAACACGAAGATCAACACCCACGTGGCGCAGGAACGCAAACACGCATACAAACACAAAGACACAGAATCCCCCCCGTATAGCTTCAACAGACTGTTGGAGCAGGTGCCGTCAGCGAGCACTTATGAAGGCCGGAACGGTACACGAGGGGGTGGGTGGCCAGCACCACGCCCGACCGCCTTTGTCTCCCGAGTGGCGACGTTTACACACCGCGCCAGGTACTCATTTGAGGCTGAGTCGACCTAGGGGAGGCACAGAGCCGGTTAAGATAATCGCTATCACTGGTGTTGGCCGTGAGCGGGAATCAAACCCGGGTCACCGGCTTCGTAGCGCAGCGCGCTCACCACTACACTACCGCTCCCCACACACACGCGCACACACGACACGCACACACGCACACCACACGCACACACACACACCACACACACACACGCGACACACACACAAGCGACACGCACACACACATCCCACACGCACACACGCAACACACACACGCACACACACACACGCGACACACACATACGCGACACGCACACACACACACCACACGCACACACACGCATGCGACACGCACACACGCGACACACGCACACACACACACACGCGACACACACACGCACACACACACGCACACACACGACGCGCACACACACACACGACAAGCACACACGGACGCCACACGCACACACACACACGACACGCACACACACCACATTCCATCGCGCGAGACAGAGAAGCGTGGTCCGTGCGTGATGACGTCTGTAAGGGACGCGGAAAATCGATAGAATAACAACATCAGCCCAGAGCGCATTGCACTCTGTCAACGCGTGCTGGCTGGCGCTGGGGGGGGCGGGTGTGGGGGGGGGGTGGCAGTGGGGTGTAGACTTGTCATGAATTATCAGTCTTATGCTGCACATCAAAGGATCATTGATTCGCGGGCATTAAATATTAAACGCGGGAGAAAGACCGTCAACATATGAAATAGCCCAACACCATCGTTATTTTATTAATGTTTGTTTGATATGGGGGGGGGGTGGTGTGCGTGCTTGCACGTGTGCGCGTGTGCGCGTGTGCGCGTGGGGGAACGGGAGCGTAGTGGTTAGCGCGCCGCGCAACGAACCACAACGATCCGAGTTCGAATCTGTGACGAACTTCTGAAGCGGTCTGGGCGTTCCCTGGGTGCGATGTGTAAATATCGCCACGAGGGAGACAAAGGCGGCCGGGCGTGGTGCTGGACACCCGTGTGTACCGTGCCGGCCTTCATAGGTGCTCGCTTACAGCACTTGCCCCGAGAGTCTATGAAGGCTATACGGGGAGGGGGGGGGGTCTTTGTCTTTGTGTCTATGTGTGCGTGAGCGTCGAACGCACACGGAATTGTCTCGACTTTGCACTCCCATCGTTGTTGTTTTTTAAATTGTCATCGTTGTTGTAACTTTGTTGACCCGCCCACACTGGGCAGCTGTGAAAAAAAGAGCTTCATAGCTCATCGGATTCTTCCCCAAAGTCTCAATAAAGATTCTGCTCCTGATACCCCTGCACGCTCAAATAAATATTTACAACGAAGACATAATACGGTCCTCGCCTCCCCGTGAAGCCTTCAACAAACTTACTCTTAGTTCTTTCGGTAAAGTCACGTAGGTAAAAAATGAAATAAAAATTAATAAAAATAAAACAATAAAATCACGACGTTTCGGAGGCAACACAAGCCTCAGTCATCAGGTGGGACCGTCACAGCTAGATTAGCTGCACGGTCCCACCTGATGACGGAGACTTGTGTTGCCTCCGAAACGTCGTGATTTTATTGTTTTATTTTTATTAATTTCATTTTTTTACCTACGTGACTTTACCGAAAGAACTAAGAGTATGAATCCTTGCAGTCACGAAAGCTTCAAATATAGAATTCAACAAACTTGTGGGGCAAGTGGTCTTAGCGGGCGCCTATTAAGACAAGCGAGGAGATGGGTGGCCAGCACCACACGAGGATAGATATTTTTTTTTAAGTCGGAGTCTACCTAGGGGAGGCCCACGGCCGCTTCCGATATTCGCCACTCTTATTGGTCGCGCGCGGGAATCTGCGAATCGAACTCGGGTCGTCGGGGATCGTAGCGGCCGGTGCGCTAACCACTCTGCCACCGCTCCCCGTTCACCATTAACGTACCCATGCACAGATATGCACACGTGAATATACACACATACATACATACCACAAATAAACATTCCCCGTGTAGCTTACACAGACTGTTATCGAGCAGCTATGAAGGCGGGAACGGAGTAAGAGAACCCACGCTCGACCGCCTTTGTCTCCCCAGCGCTACCTGTTCATGGAACGTCTTAGCACACGCGTGCAGGCACACACACACCGACACATACTACACATAAAGACAGGCAGACGCACATATATACACGATACACGCGTGTGCGCACACGCTGATAATGACAAAGATCCCCCATATAGCCTTCAGCATATTGCTAGGGCAAGTGCTGTTCGCGATCACCGATCTTGGAATGCAACGGCACACGAGGGGGTGGGTGGCCGAAGCTTAAACACCGCTCGAAATACTTAGTTGAGGCTGAGCCTACCTAGGGGAGGCCCAGGTCCGGTCTCAGATATTCTTCAACAAATGTTGGACGTGAGCGGTAACCGAACTTGGGTTGCCGCTAGTTCATAGCGCCGTGCGCTGACCGCTAGAACACTCTACCGCTCCCCACGCGTACAAAGCCAAAGATCCCCCGAATAGCCTTTAACAGACTGTTGAGGAAAGTGCTGTTAGCGAGCACCTATGAAGGCCGGAGTAGCACCACGAGGGGGTGTGTGGCTAGCACTACGCCCCGCCGCCTTTGTCTCCCTAGTGGGAGTGTTTACACATCGCACCAAGTATTCATTTAAGGCTGAGTAGACCTAGGGGACGCCCAGGACCGGTTTAAAAATCGTCACTGGTGTTGGCCGTGAGCGGAAATCGAACCCGGGACGCCGGGTTCGTAGCGCAGCGCGCTAACCACTACACCACCGCTCCCCGCATGTACACACTCACACACGCGCAAGCAGACGCACATATATACAACGACGTATTCACGTACATTTGCAAGCATACAAAACAATACAAAGACAAAGATTCCCCGTGTAGACTTGAGAGGCTGTTGGGACAAGTGCTGTGTGCGAGCACCTATTAAGGCCGGGACGCGGTGCACGAGGCTGAGTCGACCTAGGGGAGGCCCACGACCGGCTCACATTTAACGCGCCACTGATGTTAGCCGGGAATGGAACTCGGGGTGGCCTCGGTTCGTCGTGCAGCTCGCGAACCACTGCACAACCGCACACACACAAAGGCAAAGGCGACGGTGTAGGCGTCACAGTGTGTCGGGGCAAGTGTTGTTACTGAACACGTTTGTCAGTCGGGCATGGCGCATGAAGGGTTGTTGCGGCTAGAGCCACCACGCCCTGCCGCCTTTGTCTTCCCACCCCCCCCCCCCCCCGTGCCGATGTTGACACAGCGCTCCGTGCGTGATCGGGAAGAGCGCAGCGCGCTAACCGCTACAACACGAACGCTCCCCCACACACACACCGACTCACACACAAAGACAAAGATCCCCCGTATAGCCTTAACGGACTGTAGGAGCAAGTGCTGTTAGCGAGCACCTATAAAGGCCGGCACGGCACACGAGGGGGTGGGTGATGAACACCACACCCGGCCGCCTTTGTCTCTCCAGTGGCGATGTTTGCACACCGCACTAGGTACCCATTTCAGGCTCAGTCGACCTAGGGGAGGCCCATGACCGGTTCAGATAATAGTCACTGGTGTTGGTGGCCGTGAGCGGGAATCGAACCCGGGTCGCCACGTTCGTAGCGCAGCGTAGCGCTAACCTCCTACACCACCGCTCCCCACACAAACACACACACCGACTCCCACACACACAACAACAACCGCCATTCGCTTGTGCCAGGCTACGTGCACGTTGAGGCCACGTGAAGTGTCGAACGCCCGCTGGCAGGAGGTCACGGGGGGGCAGACCCAGCAGGTGCCACGGGTCGACTGACTGAGATGAATACACACACAAAGACTCTCACACGATCGCAGAGTACACATTTGCCAAATGTAAAAGTGACCCCGCTAATTTACTATTGTTGGACCATGAACAGAGCGGCAATCATCGCCCCCTCGTGGTGGAATAAAGTCCCCGGGTCGCCCTCGCAAATGAGACTAACTAACGAACTTAAAAATAACTTTTACAAGGTTAGGCCCACTGAGCTATACAGCTCATTTTCAGGAACGACCTGGTCACACATGATAGCCCATTGAAGTGTTCTTGTGTGGAAATTTATAACAACTAAATGCTCTAAACGCGTGTGATGTCGATTCTAAATGCGGATGGGAAAAACCGGAGGACCCCGCAGAAAACTCCAAATATACAGCAGCAGGCGTCAGGGTCGGGATCGAACCCACGATCTCCTGTACACCAGGCAAGGTAGTTAACATCTCACAGCCACCGTGATGATGATGAGAGAGAGAGACACGCAAACTCCAAATATACAGCAGCAGGCGTCAGGGTCGGGATCACCCCACGACCTCCTGCACACCAGGCGAGGTAGTTAACATCTCGCTATCCTGTTCTACTTGACGTCTCACCGGGGGGCGGGCGGGGGGGTTAAACAAAATCAACTGAGAAAACTTTTCAATTTGAGTGGTGAAATTGAGCGACGTTCTTGGACCGCACGACGTCAGAAACGAGGTTCCGCTTCACTGAATAGCCACGAGCAGTCCCGAGGTCCACGTTGCTCCGAGTCTCGCACTGCTCCTAAACACCATCTCCGTCGTCGTCGTCGCCGTCAGTGAACCGAGTAAATTGCCCTCCCGTGGAGTGTGACGTTAAAGCCGACGGAAAGCTGAGATGTGATTTCAAATCGCGGCGTTATTCACTCGCCTCGCCTACCACACCGTCGAAATGAACACGCACACAAATATGAAGGCATATATATACATACTCTGTGTGTATATATGTATATACATACTCTGTATATTCAATTGCAGTTACTGAGCACAGGTCCAAATATCCAAAATGTCAAACGGCCAACGACAGATAGCACTCTTAACATTGTAAAACGAACTGTCCACAGTGAGCGAGCGAGTTAGGTAGGGTGGGTGAGCAGGTGGGTGGGTGGGTGAGCGGGTGGGCGGGTGAGTGGGTGGATGGGTGAGCGGGTGGGTGGGTGAGTGGGTGGGTGAGTGAGCGGGTGGGGTGGGTGAGTGGGTGGGTGAGCAGATGGGTGGGTGAGCGAGTAGGTGAGCAGATGGGTGAGTTAGTGAGCGAGTGGGTGGGTGAGCGGGTGGGTGGGTGAGTGGTGGGGGAGTTAGTGAGCGGGTGAGCAGGTGGGTGATCGGGTGGGTGGGTGAGTTAGTGAGCGGGTGGGTGGGTGAGTGGGTGCGTGGGTGAGCAGGTGGGTGGGTGAGCAGGTGGGTGGGTGAGCGAGTGGGTGAGCGAGTGGGTGAGTTAGTGAGCGAGTGGGTGGGTGAGCGGGTGGGTGAGCGGGTGGGTGAGCGGGTGGGTGGGTGAGCAGGTGGGTGAGCGAGTGGGTGAGTTGGGTGGGTGTTGTGACCTGCAATGTGGCGTTGGTTGAACACGGCGCGGCTGACGCAGCGTGCTCGACCGAGTCCTCAACATTGGGTGGAGGAATCAGCGAGCGAAAGGTCGTGGGGTCAGTGGCCAGGGTGGTCGTGACAGAAGAGTGATAAGGAGACGATTGGCTGCGAGTGAGAGAGTTACTGGGGTGACTCGGCGAGCGTTAGGTCATAATAATTATAATATAATAATTATTATTATTCAAGGTGAAGTGTTCACGTTTATTTCGTGTAACCAGGCTAACAAAAATACAACCTTGCTTAGCTTCCCAGAAGAGACAGGCTGGGGCGCGTTCTCCGTGACTTGGTGATTGTGCCGATGATCGAATTTAAATGAAACCAAAGAACACGGAACCAAGGGAGCGACAGAGATCATGGTCAACGTTTCAGGCAATGGGCCCTTTTTCATAACACAGACAATGAAGAAGACTTGTGGTCCGGTTTGCCTGTCCGAATGAGATGGCGGCGGTGCTCATCTCTCGTTAGCAGCCAGTGGTGGACATTCCACGTTCCTATGGCCGGGGCATGTCTTATCCACAGTAGAACCACTGTTGACCTCCTTAAAAGCGGTGCTTATTTTCCGGAGCCAGGAGGGACGATGGGCTGAGTCGATCCCGCGAAATCAGCGAACTCGCGACCTTGCGAACTTGCGACGCTCTCCCTTACCGAGCCACCCGGCACCGTCGATTGGCGTGAGCGTCGAGCACGTGCCTGTTGCGGCCAGCTCTGCCCAGCGCCGCCCACGGAGCGACACGCGCAATCTCCGTCCAAATCAAGGCCCCGCAGCTCCAAGTGCAACTTGGAGCGGTTGGTTGAGCAACGCAACCGCTCAGCGCGACTCAACTTCAACCGGCGAGCAACGTGGTCGCGCAACTTATTGCCGACAACAGCGCGACGGCCTTAAAGAAACATGAGAATAAGAAGAATAATTAGACGTTAAGACGACGTTTCTGGCAATGGCCCTTATCCAGAGCACATCCGTAGAGAGGCCAGCGGAGAGACCGAGCAAGTTGCCCCCCCCCCCCCTAATGAGATCATTACCGCCGGGCATATGCAGCAGATGAGACACGCGCATAAGGTGGGGGGGGGGGGGGGGTACAGGGCATGCGTCTGCCTCGCGTGGACCAGCAGGCTTCTACTGCCGCTCGCACTCTGCGCTCGACGGAAACGGATGCGCACACGAGAACAAAGGCACTGGCGCTCGCCAGTGCTGGAAATTCCCCGTTCCTATGACGGGGATTGGAGAGCGGGCGTCTGTCGAAATAGAACGGCGCACGTTTGACACTCCGCGCGCAATTTTTTTTTTAAGAAATTGGTAGCTTATTTTATCGACCCGAATCAACCTCGCGAAGATGGGTGTCAATTAAGTTGTAGTGATCCCCGGTACAGCCTTTAACGTACTGTTTGGTCAAGCGAGCACCTACGAATGGCGGCACGGCACGCGAGGGGGTGGGTGGCCAGCTCCACGCCCGGCCGCCTTTGTCTCCCTGGTGGCGATATTTACACACCTCACCAGGCACTCATTTCAGGCTGAGTCAACCTAAGGGGAGGCCCATTACCGGTTGTTAAGATAACCGCCGTGAGTGGGAATCGAACCCGGGTTGCCGGGTTCGTAGCGCGGCGCGCTAACCGCTGCACCACCCCTCTCCACGGTCACACACAAGATAATGATCCCCCGTATGGCCTTAACAGACTGTTGGGGCAAGTGCCATTAGCGAGTAGCACCTAGGAATCGGTCACAAAGATCCCCAGTATAGCCTTAACAGACTGTAGGGGCAAGTGCTGTTAGCGAGCACCTATGAAGGCCCGAACGGTACACGAGGGGGTGGGATGGTGGCCAGCACCACACCCGACCGCCTTTGTCTCCCTAGCGGCGATGTTTACACACCGCACCGCACGAGGTACTCATTTAAGGCTGAGTCGACCTAGGGGAGGCCCAGGACCGGTTCAGATAATCGTCACTGGTGTTTGCCGTGAGCGGGAATCGAACCTGGGTCGCCAGGTTCGTAATGCAGCGCGCTAACCACTACACTACCGCTCCCCTAGGAATCGGTCACACACACACAGAGACACACACGCACGCACATCCAACACCTGCCGATTCGTAAGCGTTCCAAACTTGCCAATACATTACAGGGAGTTAAATGCGTCTTAGAATCCGCACATTGCGTTCATGATGACAATAACGCGCAGCACTTTTTAAACCACCACTGGGTAAAGTTCTCCCCACGCTGTGTCTATCATGGTGGCTGCTGGACCATACTTCACCACGCTGGTCAATGCGGTTGGGAGCCGTGACCGGGAATTCAACTTCAGTGGCCGGGTTGATAGGGCACTGCGCTAACCAGAGCACCACCGCTCATTCCCTATCCGCACGTAGACAAAAGATAAAGATCCCCCGTATAGCCTTGAACAGACTGTTTAAGCTTTTGTAGACACACTCGCAAAACACACACACACGTATATATATTCATTTACAAGTGCACATTGTAATTGTACACAAAAATACCCCAAGTATTTACATATATACACACGTATGTATATGTGCATATACACATGCATGTATACATGCATACACAGATATACAAAGACCACAATTATTCAAGTGTATGCATCCAAGTGCACACAGAGAAACACGCAACGGTATATAGAGTGTGCCTGTGAACATATAAATACATAAACACAGGCGCACACGCATACACAGATTCGCACGCGTGGCACATGGGTGTAGCGTGGTAGCCGTGTCAATGACACGTGTCATTTAGTGTGGCGTGTACACACGCGAAAATATCGACACACGGACGCAGCGTACAAACACTCGCTCGCACACACACACACACACGCGGGCACGCAATTCACATTGTATATACTCAACATACACTGGGCCACGCGTACACGCGTACACGATACACGCGCGTGTTAAAAACAAAAAGGTAACACACACGTACGACAACAACAACAACAACAACAACAAAAAGCACGCGTGGGCACAGACGCGTGGAGATACGCACAATTACAAAGATCCCCCGTGTAGCCTTAACAGACTATTGGGGCAAGTGCCGTTAGCGAGAGCGTTGAGAAGGCTGGAACGTCCATAAGATAGGTGTTTTGGGTTATATCGCGTTAATTTACGGGAATTTACGCGTAAATTTACGGGGAAAGATCGCGCAAATTTACGGGAATTTACGCGAAATATCCCCGTAAATTTACGCGATCTAACCAAAAAAAACCCCTCTCTCATGGATGATATTGGTCGCGAAAGCCGACTGCGTGTTAAAAAGGCCGGAACGGTCCACGAGGGGGTTTAGATGGCCAGCACCACGCCCGACCGCTTTTGTCTCCCCAATGGCGATGTCTACCCGCAGCACCAGCTACTCACTTGAGGCTGTCTAAATAAAGTGTGGGGGGTGGGGGGGAGCCCAGGGCGTTGTGCGTGAGCGAGAATCGAACTCAGTTGTCCGGATTCGTAGCCGCGCCACCGCTCCCCACGAACACAGAGAATTAAAAAAATCCCGCGTCCAGCCTCCGACAGACGGTTTTGGACAAGTGCCATTCGCGAGCACCTATGACGGCCGCTAAGGCACACGAGGGGGTGGTGGGTGGCCAACACCACACACACAAAGACAAATATGCATACACCAACACTCAACAACAACAACAATAAAAACATCTGCCACCCGCCAAACAAAGCCACGCAAAGACAAATACACACACACCAACACTCAGACACAAAAGACAAAGATCACCCGTATAGCCTTAACAGACTGTAGGAGCAAGTGCTGTGTGGGTGGACAGCACCAGTGACGATGTTTACGCACAGCACCAGGTACTCATTTGAGGCTGAGTCGACCTAGGAGAGGCTCAGGATCGGCTCAGATGATCGTCACCGATGTTGGCCGTGAGCGGGAATCGAACTTGGGTCGCCGGTTTCACAGCGCAGGGTGCTAACCGCTACACTACCTCTCCCCACACACACACTCTCATACACAAAGATAAAGATCCCCCGTATAGCCTTAACAGACTGTAGGGGCAAGTGCTGTTAGCAGACACCTATGAAGGCCGGAACGGTACACGAGGGGGTGGGTGGCCAGCAACCACGCCCGACCGCCTTTGTCTCCCCAGTGGCGATGTTTACACACTGCACCAGGTACTCATTTCAGGCTGAGTCGACCTAGGGGAGGCCCAGGACCGGTTCAGATAATCGTCACTGGGTCTTGGCCGTGAGCGGGAATCGAACCCGGGTCGCCAGGTTCATAGCGCAGCGCGCTAACCGCTACACTACCGCTCCCCACACTCTCATACACACACACACACTCTCAGACACAAAAACAAAGACACGCACACTCACACACTCTCTCAGACACACACACTCTCATACACACACTCAGACACAAAAAACAAAGACACGCACACTGAGACATACACACACACACTCTCCGACACACACACTCCGACACACACTCTCAGACACACACTCAGACACAAAAAACAAAGATACGCACACTGAGACACACACACACACACACTCCGACACACACACTCTGCGACACACACACACTCTCTCCGACACATACACACACACTGAGACACACACACACACACTCTCTCCGACACACACACACACACTCTGCGACACACACGCACTCCGACACACACACTCTCCGACACACACACACACTCTCTCCGACACACACACACACACTGAGACACACACACACTCAGACACACACACTCTGCGACACACACACACTCTCTCCGACACACACACACACACTGAGACACACACACACTCCGACACACACACTCTGCGACACACACACACTCTCTCCGACACACACACACACACTCTGCGACACACACGCACTCCGACACACACACTCTCCGACACACACACACTCTCTCCGACACACACACACACACTCTGCGACACACACGCACTCCGACACACACACTCTCCGACACACACACACTCTCTCCGACACACACACTGAGACACACACACTCAGACACACACGCACGCGCCCACGTGCGCGCCGCTTCGCAAACAGAGCAGCAGCAGGGACTTGTCCCGGAATCGAACCCGGCCGGCAGGAGTTCCGTGTGCTGCGCGCCCGACGTGAGGCCCTTGTCCATCTCGAGAATCATCGCTACTGCTGCTGCTGCTGCTCCTCCTCCTCCGCGTGGCGCTCCGTAGCTCGTTCCCTCGACAGGGATACAATGTAATTGAATTAATTAGAAGCTCTTGTCAAATGGGGCGATGGATTGCCGGAGCGGCCAATGGGTAGCCGCCTTGTGCGAGAGAGTGTGTGTGTGCTGTCCTCCCCCCCCCCATCCTCCTTCCTCCGCTCTCTCTCCCACGACGACGTCCCCCCATCATCACCACCACCATCAACCCACCTCCTCCCACACAAGGCAGCCACTAGCCCATCCCACACACCCCCAGACCCCATCCACAGGCAACCCGGCACCATTCTCACTCTTGCCTCTCCCTCCATCATCATCATCATCATATCCCTCCCTCCGTCTCTCCCTCATTCCCTCCCTCCCTCCTTCCCTCTCTCCATCTCTCTCTCTCACGCAGCCTCCTCCCCATAACAGCATCAGTCGTCCCTCCCATCTTCACCAACCCACTCCCTTCCCCCCCTCCCCACTAAACTCCTCTCCCATCCCACCCCCTCCGTTCCTCCCTCCTGCCCGTCCCCACCCAACCCACCCACCCACACACACCCCGCCAAGCCACCCCTTCGCGCCGATGACACGGCGATAAGGGTGTAATGCACAACGCGGCCAGCGATTAGCTGCTCGGTAATTGCGGTACGGGCGCGCACGGACAGACACGCGCACGCGCGCGCACGCACGCGGACACGGACACGTAGAGTCGGCAAACCCACACGGGGCGCCGTGAGTCTCTTCGTCTCGGCGCCCTATATAAGCAGCCGCGACTTGCGGGGAACGGGCTCATTTTTTGGAGCAGCATTTTCTGTTGCCGCCGCCGCTGTTGCCGCTGTTGCCGCTGCTGCTACTCCCCCCCCCACTTAGCACCTCTCCTCCTCCTTCTCCCCCCCCCACCTCTTCCCCCACCCCCCCCCCCCCGCGAAATTTTGTAACAGATTTTCCCTATTGCCTGAAACCACCACCTCCCCCTCCTCCCTTCTGAAAGATCACCGACAAAAAGCCAGACTCTCTCTCTGCCGTCCATCCCTCCCCTGCCGCCGCCGCCGTCGCCGCGTTAATTTCCGGGAGAAGGCTGCGGAGCAAACTCCACGTTGCTGTGCCGAGGGCGCGAAGAAATTTCAACTCGCGCCGCGCGTAGCGCAGTTTTTTGTTTGTTTGTACTTATTAGAAAAAAAAATAAAGAGCCGCCAAGTTCATTGCGGCTTATTTTTGTAAAATTATTTTACGAGCATTATTTTTATTAAAAAAAAAAGAAAACATGTCTCACTTTATTTTGTAGTTTTGTAGCAAAAAAAAAAGAAATCTTACGGACAATATTTGCTCTCATCGGTGTGATTCACACAATCATCATCATCAGCAGCAGCAGCAGCTGCATCTTCCTCCGTCATCGCTCTGCCCCGTCCGAGCTCGCCGCTTCCCTGCCGTCGAAATTCCCGAGCATGGAGGAGCTCACCGCCTTCGTCTCAAAGTCATTCGAGGGCAAAGTGAAGGACCGCAAGGACGGAATTACTTACCGCGAAGTCCTCGAGAGCGGCTCGCTTCGCGCTCGGAGCGGCATGGCCACGGACGAAATTGTAGCGACCGCTGCCGCCGCCGCTGCTGCCGCTGCTGCGGCGAGGGAAGATGCGATGGCGGGGTCCCTGTCGGCAGGCTTGGCTCCGCGGCTGCCAATGCTGCCCCGCCCGCCCAGCAGCAAGGAGTTAGGGCTGGACGGAGACAGCGAGAGGGAGGACAGCGACTTCGGTGTCTCCAAGGGCCGAGACGGTAAGAGAGGCGAGTCGGGCGAGGCGTGCGTGGAGTTGAACCCGCGCGCGTTGCGACTCCGAGGCGATGCCGACGGGAATGTCGCTCCACTCGCGAAGTTTCCGTCCGGTTCGAGGGTTTCTGCGTGGTTCCGCGACTTCTCTCGTGGTCCCTGCTTCGCCCGTGCTGTGCACATCGACTCCGCCGTCCGTTGTCTCACTCGTGTCCGTCGCGTGCATCGCACTCGCACGGCGATGTCGAATGAGGATGGGAGAGGGGGTGGTGGTGGTGGTGAGTGAGTGTATTCGTGGGTGAGTGTGAGCGAGGGGAAATCTAGCGGTGCTCCGGGGTGGTGAGCGAGATACTTTAGTTGTAGTTTCAAGAGAGAGAGTGTGTGTGTGTTTGTGTGTGTGTGTATTTGTGTGTGTGTGTGTCTTTGTGTGGGAGTGGTGGTGAGGTCGGTGGTGCAGTGGTTAGCGCGCTGCGCTGCGAACCCGGCTAACTAAGTTCGATTCCGTGCCGTAGTTGCAGCATCATCAGTGGCGAACCTATATTGCGCGTCCTGTAGGTTAGCTCAGCCTCAAAACGAGTTACCCGATGCAGTGAGTATAAAGGATCAGTGCTGGAGAGACAAAGGCGGCCGGGAGTAGTAATGCCCACATCACTCCGTTCGTGCCGGTCCTTGACAGCTGTTCTCTGAAACGAATTTCCCCAACAATCCGTACGGTTGAACACGACCTATTTGATTGTGTGTGTACGTGCATGAATACATGCTGCATCTTTAATAGATCAACACAGCGTATACGCCGCGTGTAGATTGATTATTGATAGCATATACTCGGCGCCGTGGTTTAACATCAATATTAACGCATTGGCACATTCACAGACCAACTCGGTACGATTACGCAGAGCAAACACCACATTACCGAGTCTAAGTTCAAGCTCGCGACGTCCTCGTCCTCCCCTGCCCCGTGACTGCCGCAAATAAAACATCTCACTCGGCATTCAACATCGTCGTTAATTGTAAGCCGCGGTCCATCCACTGCTGGATGATACGCCTCGCCCAGGCACGGCCCAACACGTGAACACGAGCTGATGTACATCGCTCCGTGCAACCTCCACATCCCCCCCCCACCCCCCAATATCTCTCTCGCTCTCTGTGTGACCCCCAAGATGGTCCAGACTCCAACTGAGACTTGCCCTCTGTTTGAACAACAACAACAATAATGATACGAAAACATATTAACACGTGATGTCGATATGTACCCGTACCTCCGATTTGCACGGTTGGCTACGTACGGTGCGAAAGAAGTTCAACACGCGTACATACATACTAGATACACAAGGGACTTGGAACGTGTGCGTCTGTGTCTCCTCGCTCGTATGTCACGATCTGTTGTGCACATAAAGTGAATGTAGCGTCAGTCTGCATGACTGCGTATTTGGCGGTCTGTATATATAAATTAACGTCTATTTCTGTCTGTCTGTACGACTGTCTGTATGACTGTCTGTCTGTCTCTATGGCTGTGTGTTTGTCTGTCTCTACTGCTGTGTGTATGTACGACTGTCTGTACGACTGTCTGTATGACTGTCTGCATGACTGTCTGTATGACTGTCTGTCTGTCTCTATGGCTGTGTGTTTGTCTGTCTCTACTGCTGTGTGTATGTACGACTGTCTGTACGACTGTCTGTATGACTGTCTGCATGACTGTCTGTCTGTCTCTATGGCTGTGTGTCTATCTCTACTGATGTGTGTCTGTGCGACTGTCTGTATGACTGTCTGTATGACTGTCTGTCTGTCTCTATGGCTGTGTGTCTGTCTCTACTGATGTGTGTCTGTGCGACTGTCTGTATGACTGTCTGTATGACTGACCGTCTGTCTCTATTGCTGTCAATATTCCTGCACGTATGCCTTATCTGCCTGCATGGCTGTCAGCCTATATAACCGCCTGATTGTCTGTCTGCTTCTCTGTCACAGACGATGCCGGCTTAACATGCGTCTGGCGATCTTAATATTATAAACACAAGCGCACGCGCGTGTGTGTCTTTGTGCATGTACGTGCCGCTGTGTGTGTGTATCGATTCCCGCTCACGGCCACCAACGACTATCATCTGAAACGTTCCTGAGCTTCCCCTAGATCGACTCAGCCTCAAATGAGTACCTGGTGCGCTGTGTAAGCATCGCCACTGGGGAGACAAAGATGACCGGGCGTGGTGCTGTCCACCGACACAGCAGTTGCTCCTACAGTCTGTTAAGGCTATACGGGTGATCTTTGTCTTTTGTGTCTGAGTGTTGGTGTGTGTGTATTTGTCTTTGCAATGAGTACCTGGTGCGCTGTGTAAACATCGCCACTGGGGAGGCAAAGGCGGTCGGGCGTCGTGTTGGCCACCCCATCCCCTCGTGTGCCATTCGGGCCTTCGTAGGTGCTCGCTAAAAGCACTTGCCCCACCAGCCTGAATAGGCTGTACGGGCGATCTTTGTCTTTGCATGCATGTATGTCTGTAATTGTGTGCATATATAGGCGTGTAAGTGTGTGTATATATATATTTTTGCGCTGTGTTTTTGTGTGTGTGTGTATTTATTTGCGCTACGTGAATATATATGTCTGTGTATCTATATGTATAGAGGTGCGTGTGTGCGTACGTATTATGTACGTGTCTCTAAATATACATGTGTGTATAAGAAAGTATGTGTGTGTATTAGTTGGGGCGGTGGTGTCTTGGTTAGTGCGCTCCACTTCTATTCGGATGGTGACCCAAGTTCGATTCCGCCGCTCACGACCAAACATCAGTGACGAATATCTGAACTGGCCCTGATCTTTCTCAGATGAGCACGCTCGGCTACGTACGGCGCGAAAGAAGTTCAACATGCATGAAAAAAAATGAGCACCCGATGCGGTGTGTAAACATCAGCACTGGTGAGACAAAGGCGGCCGGGAGCGTGGTGTTGGCCACCCACCACCTCGTGTGCCGTGCCGGTCTTCATAGGTGCTCGCTAACAGCACTTGCCCCAACAGTCTGCTCTTTGAATTTGTTTGGTAATGCACCGATAATTATCTGCGTATTCACGTGTGTGCATATGTGATATATGTACATACGGATATGATCGCATTATGTGTGCATAGACTGGTGGGAGTGGTGGCGCAATGGTTAGCACACTGCGCTACGAACACGACCCTCAAAGTTCGATTCCTGGCTCCCGTTAATATCATCGGCAATCAATATCTTAACCAGTCGTTAGCCTCACCTAGGTAGACTCAGCCTTTAAAACAATGTGTGCCTCGTGCGGTATGTAAACCAAGCACAGGAGAGACAAAGGCGGCCGGGTGTGGTTCTGGCTACACCACTACCACCACCTCGCGCGGGATTTAAACCAAAACAGGTGTTAGCTAACAGCACTTGTCCCCGCGGTTCATATGCCTATACGGGGCACCTTTGTCTGTGTGTGTGTGTGTACGTAGTGGGGAACGGTAGCGTAGCGGTGAGCGCACTGCGCTACGAACCTGCCGACACGAGTTCGATTCCCGCTCACGGCCTGAACCGTTCCTGGGGTCTTCCCTATGTGGACTGGTGCGGTGTGCAAATATCAGCATTGGGGAGACAAAGGCGGCCTGGGCGTTGTGCTGCTACTCGATCACAACACCTTGCCCCAACATTCGGTGTAAGGCTACGCGGGTGATCTTTGTCTTTGTATCGACTGCGGTGGCCTGTGACGGGCATCTTTGAAGGCTCTGTAAGTGCCCGGGTCGAAGGGAAACAGAATATCGGCCGATCTTATCGTGACGAACACCGAGGTCGTCCTGTACGTACAAAGATCCCCCGTGTAGCCTTAACTGACCGTTGGGGCAAGGTGCTATTATCAAAGATGGTGTGGTTATCACCACGCCTGGCCGCCTTTGTCTCCCCACCCCCCCCCCTCTCCAAAGTGTTGATGTTTTACGCACGACACGAGGTACTCGTTTCAGGCTGAGTCGACCTAGGGAAGGCCCAGGACCGGTTCAGATATCCGTGAGCGGGAATGGTACTCGGATCGTCGGGTTCTTAGCGTAGTGCGCTAACCACTACACTACCGCTCCCCGCGCGCATGCACAGAACACCTTAAACTCAACCACCGACTCTCAACATTGCAATGATTTTATTAGAATCGTTATAGCATTTGAGATGTAGGGACCTGGGCGTCTGTACACACGCGCACACACAATACACACACCACGCACACACGCACACACACACACAATACACACAATACACACACCACGCACACACACACAATACACACACCACGCACACACGCACACACACAATACACACAATACACACACCACGCACACACACACAATACACACACCACGCACACACACACACAATACACACAATACACACACCACGCACACACACACAATACACACACCACGCACACACGCACACACACACACAATACACACAATACACACACCACGCACACACACACAATACACACACACAATACACACACAATACACACAACACACACCACACACACACAACACACAGCGGTGTTGCCTGGAGCGCTAAGCAAAGGAATAGAGACATTTGATTACACGGCCACAATGCTGATGATTGGCAACAAAAGGCAAACCCGACTGGAGATGTTCTGCTTATGAACAAATGTTCCTAGCGAACGTCATTGGAACTTTTTTTTAGGGGGGGGTGGGCTAACGATCGTAAACACATTTAAATGTTACGCTATATTACAGTATGTGTGCACTCTATATATGTTTACTTTTGCTGATTAAATATATATACACGTCCAGAGGTCAGTCTGTGTGTGCGTGTGTATATGCGTGTGTGTGTGCGTATGTGTGTGTGTGCGTGTGTGCGCGGAGTGGTGGCGCAGTGGTTAGCGCGCTGCGCTAACGATCCCGGCTACCCGAGTTAGATTCCCGGCCACGGCTAAAATCAGTGGCGAGCGAAATCACGAACCTGGAAAAATCCCTGCTCGCCTTCGAGACGGCGTGGAGAAGCCAGCAGTGGATTTCCGA